TGACGATGCCGACTACGATGCTGGCGAAACGTCTGGGAATGTACTACGTCCACGGTCCGACTTTGGAAATTTGCATGGGCTCCGAACTAGATGCGTCCCTCTAGGTATTCCTACCGATATGACCAAGTTGCGAAAACAAGGTAAAACAATTTCTATACCAAAATGAATTGAAAGGTATCCAGATAAGGCTATGCAAAAAAGGTAGGCCAAATTATAAATATATTTGGAAATTTTTTGGTACAGAAGTATCCCAATAAAAAAGGACAGGGTTAATGGAATTAGGAAAGATCTACGTAAAGCGTGATAAGGAGAATGGAAAAGAGGATAAAATATTTTGGTATTTACTAAATCCACATTAAAAAGAAAACAGCAAAATAGTTTACCTGAGGTTGTGAGACAAGTGGTGGCCAAGCAACATCTTCATCATCATCAACATCATGTTGATAACGATCAGTTCTAGGATCAAAAAATGAAGTATCCTCGTCATGCTCAAGACTGGGCACAAACATAGACTTTTGTCGAAGAAGATTAGCAAAATCAACCGGAGGAGGCTTAGTGAAAAAAGTGGCCTCTTTGACCTCGGCTGCCCCTCCAGGAGTGCCCAATCGGAGAAGTGGATCGCGTTCTAACAGCTGACTAATCAGTTCAATAGCTTCTTCGGGTATACGCCATTCTTCCTCTTCGGGCCATTCGATAGGGTCTGTATTGAAAGAACCAATTAAGTGGTGGCAAATCGAAAAAAATCAAAGTGAAATGTGATTGTAATTATGAGTAGTAATTTATACGTAATTCAAAATTATATCCAAGAATAAATAAATTTAATGGTTAACTAGTGATGAGCTGTGTTTAATTTCGTGCAAGATCAGTCTCAGCCGAATAGTAGAACGAAATATAATTTGTCTGTTGTGACTTGATTTTAAAGGCAGTAGTCGAGACACGCTTACCAAATTATGGTAAAAACATGTAAAAGTCTCGGAGTTTGAAAACAATCGTATAACAACTTTAAGGTCGCGAATAAAGCATCCATACCTGATATCAACTATACAAAAAAAACAACTTCGATATGTATAGAATGACTTTGTTATTTCATTTTCAAGTTTTCATATACGTATACGTTAATGTATGTACATATGTGAGACTGTACACGAAACCCTATTAGGCGTTTTAGCACGTATATGAAGGCGAAACATCAATATTAGGTAATCGAGATGTAATGATATTTTAAAATCGAATAAGCCTATTGTAACGGTTTCGTAATGACGCAAGCTTTACTAGAGCTGATAGATGCCTCGATTACTACATCAGCTAGAACATCAAATTAAAATCCAGTAGTATACTCCACTAAACCGATATATGCCACGCGAAAAACGGTAAGCAAGTAAAAAGTAATCACATATGCGAACTCCATTGTATGTAATTGAGGCTGTCTATTGGGATTATCTCAGTAAAGAGAACTAAGTGTGATCCGAGAAACACATAAATCGATAACTAGTGTAATTTCATGGGAATTCTATATAAAAATATATGTTACTATAAAATCAATTGTAGTATGAAAATGAATCATCAATTAGCAACAATGTAACTATATGAGATAAATTTATCATGTGCATTTGCTAACGAAGGCTGTATTTAATTAGAAGTTAATTTTTTTTAATGGGATAAGGAAAATTAATAACAGGCTCGTATCAATCAAATGGTGGTATGAAATTTTTCAATAACCAAAAAATAAAAATGGATACTATTTTTATAATATAATATAATATAAATATAGTTAGTAGGTAATGGGCCAAGGTAATTAAATATGGAAATAAATGTCTTAGTTTTAGTTAGCTATCAAATGGTGCTCTTAGCTAGCATATGACAAGAATAAATGCATTATAAGCAGATTTTCCCCCCCTCAAAAGAATAGGTTAAAATGGCATACGTTAAGAAAATAGTAAAATCGATTGAAATTGAAATTGAAATTGAAATAGCATTTTAGTCGTGAGAATCCTAAAGTTCACTCAAGTTTTGAAATTAATTCTAAGGTTACCCGTGATAATATGAGCGAACAATTCTTCGATTGTGCCGCCATAAAAAGGAACGCAACCGACAAGAAATTCGTAGAGAATGATGCCCATCGCCCACCAGTCAACAGGTTTTCCTGAAATAAAGGATGAAAAAAACATAAAAATTATCATCAATATTAATATTAAAGGGCATTAAAGCCTGAATACGGTAGGTAAAACCGTTTAATGAAGAAAAGTTTGCTTTCGAAGAAAAAAACTAGTATACGTCTGAACTGCGATGCGCCCTAAATAAG